TGTATTGATGGAAAATGTGTGGTTAAAAAATAAGGAAAAGTTTTTGATTTGCGTGTAATATTATTTTATTAAAGAATGTGTGGTTGAAATGATATCAAGTCACTGTTTAAGAATGTATTTTTTTGGAATAATGTGGCTCAAACAGGCACATAGTAAGAATATTAAGGCGCTTTAATTGTCTAGTTGAACAGGGTGATTAATCAAACAGAAAATGTGGATATTTCCACTGTAATCTGAATCATTTAACTTAATCTGTAAATCAGACCCCTAAATTCAATTTTAGATGGAAGAAAAGGTATATAATATATGTAGATAATCCACCTCTTAACAAGAAATGACTAAAATTGATAACAAGAAACTAATTAATCATAAAGAAAGCATAAAGATCAGTCATCTTTACCTAAACAATTTGATAGTCATCAAGAAAATCCCATTAAAATTATTTAATATACTTGAAAAATCTTCTTCAAAGACTGTCGCCCACTACCACCGCCGCCACAAGGGAGAGCCGATAAAGCATTATCTTTGCAAGAACGAACAGTCAAGAATTGATTCACATACGCATACATTAAATACAATAAGAGCGCCTACCACTTCCACATTTTTGCAACACCCATCGCCGCCAGATCGAAAAACCAAAAAACCCCCAAAAGCACAGATCAACACCCATCGCAACGCTGTGTTTACTACAGCGTCGTCTCCCACGTCGGCGCTAGCATCAGTGCATCTCCTTCATTGCCAATTGCAGTGTTTGAGATGAAAGTCGATGTTAAGAGAGCATGAAGAGACGGCTATTTGGGAAGAGAGAAAGGAGACCGAAGAGAGACGGGCTTGAATGAGTTTCTCTTTCTTGTTTCCTGTGTTTTCAAAAAAATTTGGGTTTTGTACAGAAAATGTCCAAATTGACGTTTTGCATTTTCTTTACAAAATTGTTTTTCGTTTTCAAAAATTCGGTTTTCAAAAACGGAAAAGAGAACGCATTTTCATCATTTTGAAAAATCGAAAACATAAAACGGTCCGAAAACGGCGAAGAGAATACATCGTAAATTTTTTGTTAGCAAAAGTTGTAACCCGTGGATCTGGAAAAGTCTCACATAAACATCCGCGTGGCAAGGAAGGACATGTTGCATTTCAGTGACGAGATGCGTGGCAAGACTACACGTCCATCTCCTCTTAACCTGATGCATCTAACTTTTTCCTCGTTATCATTAGTGGGGAGTATATAATGGTTGAAGACCTTTGGCTAAGCATCCATCCGAGCAGCACTTTTGCATCTGGATAAGGAAATCATTGACAATCCATAGGGATTAAGAAAAATCTTTTGTGATCTATATCTAGAAGGAATCGTCGTTATACAAGGAAACCTACCATACTTAAAAGTGATCATACAATCGCAATGCTCAAGGGGCCTTTGCAAAAGATTTAGTGACCAGTCATAGAGAACTGTGTGATTATACCACTTAAGCCGGTACGATCGCTTGGAGGATATGCGAAGCACATTGTTGTTTTTCTACTTCAACTAAAATCCTGACTTTTATCATCCTGTGTCTCAATTTTAAACCTAGAGAGAGATCTATAAATTGGATTATTTCAGTCTTTTCAAGTAGAGATGCATTCGTTAGAGAACATATATAGATTCTCAAGATTGATTACTCTAATTTGGGATTTGAAATTGAATCCGAATGATGCTTCATTTGTTTAATTCCATCATTCGTTTAATTCCAAAATTATGAGTGGCTAGATAATTTATTATTACTTAGATTATGTATTAATTAGTTATTTTGCATTTAATGTAATTCAATTGCTTCATCACCAACTGATGAATATAGGGACAATATTGAAATCGATAGGAGATATATTTTGTCTAGTTTACACAATAAGTGACATACATATTGATAAGCGATTAAGATATTCTCATATGTCATGCATCTTGATTGAATTCTGCAAATTAATGCATTTATGCTTCTAAATTTACATAGAGATATAGTAATCTTGAATAAGTGAATATGGCTAGTTTTATTCAAAAGAGATCATTAGCTAAAACTGATTAATTTGATTGTTAATACATGTAGCAAAGGGGTTGGATGATATTGGATTAAGTGGATATTAATTGACTAAAGTGTAACCGAAACTCTTTAACTACCCGATCTCAAAAAATTTCCAAAAAGTCTCGCACGTCAATTACGTCAGATAAATTTAGTATGGCTTTAGTTTTAACCTAATTTCTTGATTCATTGTTTGGTTACAACATTAATTTAATTTGAAGCTAAAGTTTAGGATAAAAATTGATATCAAACAAGTAGCCCATGTAGAAACAATAGTTAGACTTTAAAATTCACTTTATTACTTGTCAAGATTCGTACAGTTTAATATAAATAAATATAAGTTCCATTGATAAGCAGTCGATGCATTCCTTCGATTTAAAATGATGATGATGATAAGTCGAACTGAATGATTTTAAGCTGTAGAGGAACGACAGTTTTTGGGAAAAGAATATCCAATTGATCATTTGAACATTTACAAGACAAAGTTGTAAGGGCATATCCCCAATGTGAAGTGCAGGAACTTTCATAAAACTCTTACCTCCGACTCAAAGCACTGATATACAAGTTGGTACCAATAAACATTCCCATATGGCCACAAGTTCACTAGTATTTCACTGGCGATGGTTCTCTACACCTATGACTCGCCTCAAGGGATGGCGGTGGGGGAAGGGAGTTGGGTAAGGTAGGTAGGTTTGTTGGAAAATGTATATTTTTTAATTATTTTAAGTGAGCCTCTTTTGTAACTGCAATTATTTATTCTTTTTTCTTTTCGTCTTGTTTTTTAAGGAGGATAATAAATGTATCATATTACATGATTTATGATTTTAACAGGGAAATTGGACAACATAGATGTTTGAAAAGGTTTGCTTTGATATAAGGTGTATTGTGTCGAAATGAAATGATATATACAATTTACACAAAATATGGAGAAGATAGTGATGTTTTTGTTCTAGTTACCCTTCAATTCAAATATGATCTGAATAGGGTGAATTTGAAAGCCTCAAACTCACGTCTTTTTGATAATATATATATAACACTTTCTATGTATTAAGTTATATTTAAAGAATTTATCGAGTGGTGGAGAGAGATGGAGGGCAGGACTGAAATTTTAGGAAATTTTTATATCAATTTTCAACCAAGTGAAATTTATCATAATTTTTGAATCAAATATTCTAGGATTATACTACTTGTACATAAAAAAATGATACATAATAGATGACATAAAATGACGTGAAGGGAAAAGATTGGATAAAAAATTTGATTATATTTTAAACATATAAACGATAGAGTAACATGTATTATTTTATAACTCATTATGTAAAATTTGATGTAGATGTAACAATGTCCCATATTCTATCAAAATTTACTTAAAAAACACTAATTCTTACCTAAACCAAAAATGGACTATATCTTATTAGGGATATTTTTATATGATGTTTGTAAATGAAGCCTTATTTGAACCCCATATTTTATGAATTTATTTTTACTTCTACGGCATTTTTGAGCCACATTTTTTCAAAAAAAAAAAAAATCTTAAATAGTGATTTGACATAATTTCAACCACACATTCTTCAATAAAATAATATCACACGTAAATTTTCTTTATTTTTTAACCATACATTCTCATTAATAAACTATTCAAAAATTCATTTTAAGGAAAATAATGTGACTCAAACAAGGGCCTACTATTTTTAGTTAAATTCTTTTAATATAAAATAATTTTTTAAGCATCTATTATTTCAAAAAATAAGACTCAAACAAACCATAATAACCACTTGAATAATGCTATACAGCCTCATCCAGGTTACAATCTCAATTTAGATGAAGCTTGACGATAAACGGAATGAAATGTGAAATTAAATAATTTATTTAATTACGTTTATTATTTAATGTCACATTAACATCACCTAAATTAAGGTTTTAACTTTGATTGACTTAAATAGCATTACTCTAGCCACTCAATAAAAATATAAATAAATATTTGATGCAATCACTGCCATCACGCTGAAATAGAAACAAATGGTGATTGATAATTTAATAAGGAATAATGCTACATAATCGCTGAGATTACAATCTTAATCTAGTTGATACTAAATAATTGATTAAATTAAATCAGTTATTTAATTCTACTATCAATTAGTGACACATTATCACCCAACGGAGCTCCAACCGCGAGTCGACTAAATAGGATAACTCTTTAATAAGCCATTTCTACGAGGTTGCCCCTCCCAGAGGACTACGCAGGAACTCTCTTTCTCGTTGCATATTCGTTTTCCATTACAAAAGGAAAATGGGTTATTTGTCTTCTGCATTTCCCTCTTTATTACACCCATTTTTGTGAATTTCAGCGTTGAAAGAAATTTATCGGCTGTTATTTTATTTCCCTAGTTTTGAGAATAATTATAGAAATATCTTGAGTCGATAATGGACGATCCGATTGGAGTGAAGAAGAGGGTGGTGGTGGTGGGAGGCGGAATTGCCGGCTCTCTTATTGCCAAGACCCTTCTAAACGACGCTGATGTTTTCCTTATTGATCTGTAAGCTCACTTTCACTTTTATCATGCTTTCTTTACTGGCTCTGTTATGGATAACTTGAATATAAATGAATGTGTAATTTTGTTAATTCTGTAGGTATAATTTGTGGTGTGAGTGTTCATTTCTTTCACTGCTTTGTATGTTTATGGAGTACCCTACATGTATTCAATTGAGGTTTTTTATGACTTTTTTTACTATTTAAAAAGTTTAGGGGTAATCAATGTAAACTTTTTATCATGTTTTCAACAGAGACTTTTATAGACTTTCAAGTCTTGAAAAGTCACCTTGTATTCAATTGAGAAGTTTTACATTGTATTTACTTAAAACTTTTAGAAATTTCTATAAGTTTTGAAGTTTTGGGACATTCAAATCTTAATGGCTCCTAGAATTTTTATAAAAGTCCCTGAATTACTAACTTTTAAACAAAAAGTACTCATATAAAATTTCAAAATTTGTTACTCATTAATCACGAAATTTTGAATCTTTCTTTCCTTTTTCCTTCAACGAACATTAGAGGTATGATTAAAATTTACTGATTATATTTATTATCATTTATCTTTCCCTCTCTCACTATTTATCTTTATTTTCTATGAAAAAATTAATTGGATTCTTGTAATTTTTTTCTTTTTTTATTCTTTTTTTTTTTTTTTGTGAAAAGTGTTTATGTTTTTATTAAATTATAAAATTTTACATGAAAAATTTATAATTAAATTTAAATATATTGATTTTTATTTATTTTGAAAAGTATATTATATTAATAATATTGAATATTAAATTTACTGTTTATCATATACATGTATAATTTTTATTATTATTCATTTAATTAAGGTCTTGAATTTTTATTTTATTTATTTATTTTTTATTATATAGGAAGAAGAAGGGTAAGGAAAAGGGAAATTGTGGAAACTAACATCTCATACATGAGAATTTTACACCATTGTACTGATCCACGTGAATTTTATTTCAAATAAAAGTTTTCAAAAGTTTATAAGATTTTTAAATGAAAGTTTATAGAAGTCTAGGATAGACTTTCGCTAATTTCATACAAGTCTATAAAAGATTCACGAAATCCACAGAAGTCATCAATTAAAAAATGTCTATCAAAGTTTTCAAACGTCATAATTGAATACACCCCCTTAATTAGATTTTTGTAATTTTGAGTTGCATATGATGAAAATTTTGATTGCTGTTGTGAGTGCAGCTTTAACCAACCTTAACCACATGAATAAAATCTTTATTGAAATATAAACTTTCATAATTTGAGTTTATATTTGGATAACAAATGGCTTGCTTTTGTCGTAATTATAAATCTGGAAAGAAAGGGTGATCAGAGACTGGAAACACTCAATGTTGTTTCACTTTTACTCTTGAATACTAATCATATTTAGAAACATTTGCCTATTTGTTTCTCCAACTTTGGTATTTTCCAAGAAAGAAATTTATGTAAGAGTCAAAGCACCGAAAGGAGAATTAGAAGGATGGTTATCAATGTCAACAAAAAGAGATGAAAATTGTAATCCTGATAGGTGTTGGAAATCTCCTATTGTCTATTGACAAGTTCTTTTAGCATTGAGGAGTGTCTTCGCTTGACACCTTGGAACACGCCGTTCTTATAGATACCTTTACCGAGATCCGAAGCAAATTGTGCAAAGGCTTCTAGTTCTGCAAATTGTACTAGTTCCACATAATTTCTGAATACACCTGGTACATTTCTGTATTGCTTCTATTAACAACCCCTCTCCAAATGCCTCCTTATAGGTCCTCGTTTTCCTTTTTGTGAGACAATCTGGGGAGCTAAAGGCTATCTGTGAATTTTGTTGTCGGATGTCATTTTGATAACATTCCAATTATATGTATGCCCCGTTTTCTTGTTTTATTATTATTATTTTTTGATCGTTCCTTGTTTTATTATTTATTTGTTTCTAGGGAGGATGGGGTGATGAACTGTTAGTCTAAGTTATACTGTGTTGAAAGTAAAACTGGAAATAAAGAGTAAGCATACCCTTGTTACATAAGGAAGAGAATTGGGAGGGAAGTAAAGATGCTGGGATGCCTTACTCCTACAACACTCTCTGTCCCCTCCCGAATTGGTATTTGGGGTTTTATCAATAACGTAATGCATGTGATTTGAATCAAAGTAATTATAATTCACAGACAAAGTATGTCTACAATATGGGTAAATTTAATACTTTACATCATGGCAATAATTTTATGAGCTTATGTATGCCAGGTTTGCAGGGTTAAAAGTTTCAGGAGTGTTAGAAGATATAAGCTTTTGCTTTTATGTTGTCTGAGAGAACTTGTGGTATTTAAGAAAATTATTTGCACTTGAAGTTGTTAGAGAAAAAGTTAACCAAATAGATAATGTGAGCTAGCTAAAAGTTGGCTTGTGCATTGATGCTAGAATCAATGTTTGAAAAGGCTTATTTGGGTACTCAGGCTTTACCTCACAAGTCATATGTAAACCACTGGGCATTTTGTGGCGTAACCCCCAAAGAAGAACCAATGAAATAACTCAGAACAATGTAAAAATGTTTTTACAGTAAACTGTAAACTATCTTTAACCTTAATAAGAAAGCAAGATTAAATCTTTAACTTGGAAACAAACATAAAGTGATCAATAAAGGAGTTCATAACAATAGGTTTTCAAATTAGAAGCACATAATAAATTGCTATAACTTTTAGATGTAGAAATAATCAAGGAGTCTATAAGTAACAATAAAATCTTTAAGTGAATTGTCAATGTATTTAATTCCCCTATCATCCTCCTCATCACTGCATTTTTTTAATTCTGTAACCATTCTCCACTTGGAATGGAGTATTATCCTTAAAGGAAGAATAATTAACACACACACACACACACAAAAAGAAGGAAAAACCCTGTCAGATACTGTAAAAAATCCAAAAAGTTGGGTCAATAATAAAAAGTCCAGAAGAGGCAAGACAAATGAGCGCACACCTTAGCGCTAGCCTGAGGCTGGACCTTGAGGTGTAAGCCCCAGGCATGATACTCAAAGCATAAGCTTCAAGACGTTTAATGATAGCTTCACGTGAGTTATGCCTAAAGGAGAAAGCCTCGAACAGTTGTTTTAAACTATGGTTAAACCACATTTCTGGGGGGTAAGTTTTTCCCTTGAATGTACTGGATTTATATTTCACATAAGTGTAAAAATTCATAACTTATTAATAAAAAAGTGTAGTACCACCAGCATTATTTATTGTCAACTTTTTAAGGCTCAGGTATGTCTTAATTCTTTACATCATATAGAAGGAACACTCAACAGTTCAACGAGATCTAATTCAGAACATGATCTTGTACATCCTTGACTGATCTTTAGGAATAAATTTAAAGATTCTCAAGTGGTTTTAAGGATTCACCAGGTGTGGATGGTTGATATTGTTATGGGTTAATTGTTAATCCTATATCACCAAGAGAAATAACAATACGAAACATAGAAAATAAAAATCAAGAAAACACACACAATTTAGAATGGTTCACTCTCAATACGAGAGTTACATCCCCTTGACGCCACTGCAGGATTTAACTATATTGAAGAAGAAGAAGAAGAATGATTATAGTGTTTTCAGATCTCACATATCTCTGTTTTTCCTCTGCATCATAAAAAAGAGTCTCGTCCTAATTCCTTTACGTGAGGAAATATTAAGGCGACCTAATACAGGTGGTAATTTTCCAAATAAGCATTATTAACAGTTAAAATGTATTGAATAATACGGGTCCACACATCCAAAAAGTACGGTGTTGAAAACTTTCTTTTAGTCCATTGGTTTCTTGCTGTTTGTATAATATCTTTCATGGTTGATGTCAAAATTCTCACACATTGGCAGGATTTAACCTAATTTATGTTGAATACATCAACATTATAATGAGATGACATAGAGTTGCAACTTGAAATTGATCTTTGCAGTTAACTATAATTTAAAACATCTTATAAGTTTGGTTCCATTTGCTTAACTAAAACTGAAACTGCAGGAAGGAGTACTTTGAGATTTCCTGGGCAAGCTTGAGATCAATGGTTGAACCATCATTTGCACAGAGATCAGTGATTAATCACTTGGAATACATTCCTAGTGCACACATTATTGCATCTGCTGCAACTGACATCACAGAGAATGAAGTACTGACTGCTCAAGGCCGTCTAATTGCATATGATTATCTTGTCATAGCCACTGGTCATGGAGATGCTGGTCCTTGTTCAAAAGATGAGAAACTTAGTTGCTACCAAGCAGGTAAAACTGGCACAAATATGCGAGCAAATTTAATCTTGTAGCTTCAGTGGTTAGTTTATTTTTTCCTCATCATATTACCTTCATTAGTTGTATGGGTGAGTTTTTCATTTCGGTTTCACTCTTTAGATTGACCAACAACATGCTATACATAGATATTTGTCCTTAAACTATTGGATAGGTTTATATGAAGAGATCTGAAAAGAGATCATAAATGCCTTTGTGAAGTATATGCATGGATGCAGTTGCATCTAATAATCATTTCCGTAAATGGTGTATCTTGAACAGTGTTTGAAATTCATAAGAGAAGTTGCAAGTGTCTTGAGTCGTATAATAATAAAGGCTTAGTTGTAGTGATATCTTAATTCCATCATAGTCTAGCTTCGCTTAAAAGCCTAGATATCAACCTAGATGTTATCCATAATTTTCTACTGATTGTGAGATTCTCAAAACTTGCTTTTCTTTCATTTTAATTATAAAACTCTTGTATTCTTTTCTCCAATTTTGTTCAAGCATTTCTGGGTCTTTACTTCAAATCCAAACCGCCGTTTAATGGACGCTATGATTGGGCTTCCGACTTATTTTCCTGGTTGTAGAGCATGACAAGATAAGATCTGCAAATTCAATTTTGATCGTTGGAGGGGGACCTACTGGTGTGGAATTAGCAGCTGAAATTGTTGTTGACTTTCCTGGTAAGAAGGTGACACTGGTGCATCGAGGATCAAGGTTGTTAGAATTCATTGGAGAAAAGGCTGGTAAAATGGCCCATGATTGGTTGATCTCAAAGAAGGTTGAAGTCATCTTGGGCCAATCTGTTGACTTGAACTCTTGGTCAGATGATGTTTATAAAACATCTGGTGGAGAGACCATAAAAGCTGATTGCCATTTTATATGCACGGGTAAGCCAATTGGTTCGTCATGGCTAAAGGAGACTGTTTTGAAGGATAGCTTAGACAGTCGTGGAAGGCTAATGGTTGATGCAAACTTGAGGGTCAAGGGTCACAAGAATGTCTTTGGTATTGGAGACATCACAGATATTCCTGTAAGTCGAGCATTATTTGTTTTTTCACTTTATTTGGCTCAAAGTATTAGTTTCTTCATGCTACATAAAACGATTTCATGATAATATATGATACCTGATTTTACTCGTATTCCAAAAACATTTAAAGGAGTCATTCGTCGATAAAAAAAAATGTTGAATCATATGCTTCTATCAGTCTTGGTCTTCACTACATATAGAAGGTATTTAATCCATGGTTTTTCCTAATTGGACGAGTGTTTCATAGAAATATTAAGCAGGATAAATAATGAAAAAAATAACCAGTAATAGTTCTATTTGAAGAATCTTTTATATGAAATTGAGTTCGTTCTTTCAATTTTCATTGTTATTATTCTTACAGCATAATATCGTATGCAGGAACTCAAACAAGGATATTTGGCACAAAAGCATGCATTGGTGGCTGCTAAGAACTTGAATATGTTAATGAAAGGAAGCGAAGAAAACGCTCTGGTTAATTACAAGCCTGCTTCACCAATGGCAATTGTTTCACTCGGTCGAAGAGATGCGGTGGCTCAAATTCGCTGTTTACCTATTGTTGGACGCATTCCTGGCCTGATAAAATCTGGGGACTTGTTTGTTGGGAAGACACGAAAGCAACTTGGTCTAAAATCCTAGTCTAGCAATAGCCTAAAAGTAGATGGTCAAGGATGAATTGCAGTTGAGCTCAACTCTTGTTGTAAGTTCAAGACAGTTCACACCCCTCAATTCCTTGTCCTCGGAACAAAAATACTTTTCTGGGCTTTGTTTGCTGAAGCTTCTCCTTTCTTATAAACCTTCACTGTTCCCAATGTTGCACTTCTTGATGAAGGTTGATATGCTTTCCTGCTATACAGCATTTTGAGTATTTGGGATATGGAACTTAAGTTGGGTAGAATAAAGCTAACATGCGTTTGAGTATTGTGTTTTTGAACTTTGGTGCTAGAGTTTTGTCAACAACTTAGAATGAGGGTTTCTTATAGCATTGTAAATGCTGAAGCTGGGGAGCTAGATGACCGGATAGGACAGGATAGGATCGAAATAACTGCAGCAGTGAAAATAGCACTAGTCCTTAACATGAAGAAATCGAACAAGAACGTGTAGTCAAGTTCTTGGACTTTTAGAATCTGACCTTTTCATGGTGTGCATATATATATATATATTTATATATATATAGAAAATACATTTTAGAAGAGTCACACACATTATATATTACAAATTTTAGGTGTTTATTTGACAATCACACGTGCATACTTACATAAAAAATTGAAAGAAATATGCCATTATATTGGATTGAATGGCCTATTTCATTTAGAGTATGTTTGATAGGTAAAAATTTTCCCTAGAAAATGGAAAATCAATTCCAATTTCCACTTTTGCATTGTTTGATAGCATTTTTTCCCCTAAAATTCCATTTCCAAGTTTCTTGCCTTTTGGGCAATGAAAACAAATTCTAAAAATTATTATAAAAAAAATTTCTCTTTAATTGACAATTTTCATATAAAATCAGTCAAATAAACACCAAAAGATAGATGATTTTTTTTTGTTTGGCAATGAAAATAAATTTTATCTCCAATACCAGTAAATTCTATTATTTTAATTGACAATTTTCATTGAAACAAAGTCGAACGAAAACCAAAAAATACTTTTATTTCAACATTTTTCATGTGGAAAATTATGTCAATTAAACACAATGATTTATAATTCTCAGTAAAGTAATTTTTAGGCAATTCAATTTCCTGAAATTCATTTTCTTTCACCCAAATTCTATCTTCGCAATTAAATAGACCCTTAGTCTATCATTTAATGTCATATTAGCGTGACATAAATTGGAATTAAGGAAAAACTCATAATTAAGAAGTTAAGTATCACTCATTTCAAAAATTAAAAACAAATATTTCAAATTCCAAAAATCAAAATTTTATTTAAATTTTGTTATGATTTAATTAATTATATATTTTATTAATATAATATATTAAGGTTACATATCTATACAATTTAATCACAAATTTACAATTTCATTAGTCACATGTTATTTTCTGGTCACGAATCAAAAATTTCATAGATAACGAATTATTTCACAGTCACAAATCAAAAATTTCATAATTTACAATTTGTTCAGGTCACAAATCACAAATTTTATAAGTTATGATTTATTATACAGTAAAAAAAATTATAAAATTATTGATCATAAATTAACAAATTTTTAGGTTACATATTATTTCTTTGCCAATTTATCTATTTATTGGTTACAATCAACAAAATAATTTGTGACCACCTCCAATCTTGTGACCACTACCCCCACAATTGCTTTCAATTGCACGTCCACCACCATCGTCACCCAGCAACGCCACGACGGTTGCATCACCGTAGCATTACCACCACCAACAAACTACCATTTTTCAACTTCAAACCCGCTAACACGCCACCACCGGCAAACCACCATTTTTAACTACAAAACCACCACTAACATCAATGCCAACACCATCGTCGCCACCACCACCACCATTTTACCATCGACGTTGATGCCTGTAGAAGTAGCCACCACCATCTTACCATTAATGTCACAACCAATAGAAGTAGCATTAGCACCAAAAATTACCACCACCATCTCCATCATACCACAATCACTACACCCACCAAAAATTCTCCAAAACAGTTGCTGCTACCTCCGCTGCATCACCGCCTACTTATCAAATCCATTACAGATTGCAGTCCACAATCGGTGCTACTGTAAGTCGTGCAACCTTATAGTATCGTTGTGCACAATGGCCACGACGCCTACTGGTTTAAAACTAGAACTAAGAAACAAGGCAGAATTGTGCATGAGGTGGAACTGCGCTGCACTTCGGGTAATAGTAGCGTCACCTTGCGTAGAGGTACTCCGATCGAGAGGAAGGTGGTGGTTTCGGCAGCGGACGAGGGAAAGAAGGAGAGGGAACGTTGAAGATAAAAGAGGGAGAGGAAATAAGTGAATGTGAAGTGATTTTTAGGATTTGTATGAAATTTAGGAATTAATTTTATTATTAATATAAAATTTATATTGTTTTTTGTATAAAAAAACATCATATTTGATTTTTAAAACTAGATCTTGAAAGATATGATTTGGTTGGGATTATAATCCAATGGCCTAAGTAACATTATTTTTATAAAAATTCCTATTCAGATCCGGTTCTAAATTTTCAAAAAAAATATAAAAATAAAATTCCGTAAAAATATAGGACTTGGTCGATAGTGATTATGAAAATTGATTTTTTGATCGCGAGAGAGAAAAGTAGATCCTACATTTGAGTGATGAAGTAAAAATAATGATTGATCGATCAAAAAATTAATTTTTAGGTGAAAAATAAGAACCAAGCGGAGCTAATGAGCGCGTGAACAAGCGTCCGATTGCTTAAGGCGTACAGGGTTTCAATTATTATCTTCTCTTTCCCTTGCCCCCAAGACAGATTACAATTTCTTAGATTTTGAATTGGTCATCCTCACAAGGAAAAATTCGAAATTATTTAAAAAATTCTCTATCAAGCTGAAGCCCTAATTCTCACTGCAATAAGCAAAGAAGAATTTAGAAAGAAGAAAATATGAGGAGAGTGTTTGGAGTAAAAAAAGACAAAGAACCCCCTCCCACCGTTCAAGACGCCTCGGATCGGGTGCGTACCTTTTGATGTTTTCTATCTTGCTTAGTGATTTGGATTTGGATACACTTGTACTGTAAAGAGTTGGATTTGATTTTATCGTGTGAATCTATTGTGTAATTTGCGAATTTGTTTCCCTTAATATTGCATCGTCTTATCGTTTCCGAAGTGCTAGGAAGAATATATATGGGCAAGTTGTAATGCAGTAGCTTGTTCTTATCATACACGGACGCTAAGCTTTTAACATGTCTGTTCTTGAGCATGTGTCCAACACTCCTTTGATTGGCCCTATGTATTAAAAAATGCGTATTTTAAATACTGGATACTTGTTGCAGGCTTTTTAACCCTTCACCTTAACTTGACCATTGGATATGAGATTGTCAAGTAATAATATCAAACCTCTTAAAATTCTAGAACTTCTATGTTTAGAAGAAAACAAAAGAATGAAATTATTACTTAAGGGTTTTGGCCTTGATGTAGACATTGTTTAATTCATCTATAACTGTATTCTATACTTGATATTTTAGATGTATGCAATTCTTTAGTAGCTACATGTCAATAAGCATTCACTCATATGCCCAGTTTGAGCCCCATTATTTCAAAACTCATTTTTCTCCAAACTTATTTCAACTACACATTCTCCCAATAAAATAATTTACACATGAATCCAAAACTTTTTTCTACTTTTTAACCACACATTCTCCCAAAAACTACAATTACAAAATCTATTTTTTCAACAAAGGCAAAATTTAGCCCTTGTTTGGTACACATTATTTTCAAAATACATTTTTCTCTCTCTTAATTTCAACCACACATTCTTCAATAAATTAATATTACACTCAAACCCAACATTTTTTAAAAATTTTTTAACCACACATTCTCCATTAAATCACTATTCCAAAATATAGTTTTGGCAAAAATGGGCTCAAATGGGCTCTGAATATAATTTTTTTGTGAATTAACATGCACAATGCTTACTATGATTAATTCAGTAAATAGGAAGCAGTACAGTTGGTATCTTTCTAAGGTGATGAACCATGGGTTTTAAGGGTTGTGTTTCATAGTTGGTGAAATGGTAACATTGTTGCTTTCGTCCAATGTTGCTATACATATATGCTGAGTTGATAGCTTTACTTCCCCTGGGATCCTGATAATTATTCATAGTTGGTGAAATGATAACATTGTTGCTTACTTCCAATTCTGTTGTACATATATGCTGTAGAGTTGATAGCTTTATTTCTCTCGGGATCGTGATAATTATTTGTTTGAGATGTTGAGATGGTTTCCACTGTTTATAACAGATCAATAAGAGAGGTGATTCAGTTGAGGAGAAGATAAATAAGCTTGATGCTGAATTAGCTAAATACAAAGAACAGATCAAGAGGACCCGACCAGGTCCAGCACAAGAAGCCGTCAAAGCTCGAGCCATGAGGGTTCTCAAGCAGAAGAGAATGTAAGTACCATCTCTGGGTTATCAGCATGCTGAAATGTAAATCTGCTTGTGAGATTGGAAATTAACATGGATACTTTAGGGAAATATCACACAATAACAAGTATGAGTTCGCATTAGGATTATGTTTCTACGAAACACCTTTAAAAACCTGTTGGACATTTTTAGAATTTTAAGTGTTTGTGGATTAGAGGAACTGCTGCCATACTGATTCAAGGTAATCCACCCTCCAAAATGATGCGAGGAAATATTAAGATGTTCATTGGGATCAACAACCAAATCGAACAATGTTCTATGAAATTCCAATGCTATGCTGACATTAATTAAGAGCAGAAACTGGGAAGTGGAGGTGCCATTGAATATTACTTTTTACAATCTCAATTTTCTGATGTATCATCTCGTTTCGAGTGATTTACTGCATAATACCACGGGTGTACATTAGTCTTTGTCAATTGCAATCCACATTTCATTGGTTTGGTTTTGAATAAAGTTTAAGTCTCTGATTCTCTGTTGCAAAGTCCAGCATAATCTGCACTTCGTTAAGGTATCAAGGATTGTGTGGAATTTTATCCGAGAGAAAAAAAGAAACCCAGTTTGAAGTGCTACAACAATTTTAAAACACAATGAACCTTCAAAAATAAAATATGCAACATGATAGTAGACCACAAAGATAACGAGGACATGATAGCCAAAGCATTTGTGAAAGTTTTAAAGTTGAAGAAAGAAAATACTCACCTTGCTATCAAGTTTCAGTGTTTCACTAGTTAAAAAGGATCAAGAAATTCATATTATGAAGGTATGCAAAATTCCACTTTCTATTAGAAAGCATTACAAAGATGAGATTGTTTGTAATGTAGTAGGGATGGACGATTCTCATGTGCTTTGGAGACAACCATAATCCTATGTTGTAGATGTCACTTACATAGGTCGATTTAACATGTATGTGCATTGGTGGTACGATAAGATGATTATTCTTTTATCAACATGATGAGCAATTTGTGAAAACCAGTGTAAACAGAGTAAAAGATTTGTAAGGCAGATGATGAGGTCGAAAAAGAAGTCATTCAAGATTATAAGGATGATATTGAAAAAATATACTACAATAGAGGTAGAAAAGTATGTGCAAGATGAAAACTCGATACCTGCTAATTCCTTATGCATGTATATTGACAAGGAATACAAATTTAAGGATGAAAAATATTTTGGTGAAATTAAGAAGAGTTGAATCAAAGAAAATGGACTTGAACTTGCTGATCATGAAGGAGTCAAAGGTGAGGCTTGTCAAGTTAAGAATACAAGTTTAGCATACCTTCTTTGTGATGCGAATGTCAAAGAATTGCACAAGCACAAGAAAAATAGGAAAGAATGGTAGTACTGAAGATTTCATCGTTAGAAGTAAAAAGAACACAAGAAGCACAAAGAATTGAAAATATCAGTGTTTATATGCACACGAACAAGAATGCTCCACATGAAGTGTCCTTAAGGATGAGAAGATTGAATATAGGAGCATAGTTGATGTCATTCAATGCAGTTGCAGAGAATAAACATATGGACATTTGTTCAATATGTGACGTGGCAATAATTTGAGTACTTCCTCTTAATTGATTGATTTTCTTTTTCTCAATCAAACTCGAGGACGAGTTTTCTTGAAATTGGGGAAAATTAAGTAGGACAATCCTATTCCAAATAGAATTTCTAGTGTAGTAGGATTTTATCTTGTTTTCTCTTTCTTTCTTGATTAGAATATGATTTCTTCTTCCTTTTTAGATTGGGATTTTATTTTCTTTTTAAGATATTCGTTTTCTTTTCCTTTTAAGATTTTAGTTTTCTTTCCTTATATTGGTAAAATTAGGGAATCGTTTTGCCTATATAAATAAAGGCTTTTGTGCACTTTTTTTAAACAATTTATTATATTAAAATTATTCTTTATATATTTTCAAAATTTTCAACTTTATTTTTGTTTTAAGAACTTCAATTCCACTTCTGCTCCATAAATGAAGGAAGAATGGAGAAAGTGGGAGAAAATAAAGTTGGGGAAGATAGATTTGTTCTCTTTTCTTTTTTCTTCTGTCTGATTTGAAGAGAAACTTTAAGGGGGAAAGAAAAGATTAATTACATTCACCTCCTTGAGGTTTGTTCAATATATAAGACAACCCTTTGTGGTCCTGGTCATTACTGTTCACTCAATTGACCCCTATCTAATAAATGCCTGTTACATTTCCATTCCCTCAACAAGGGTTCTTCATGTAAATATTGAAAGGGTTAGTTTTTCTTGACGGTCATTGTTGATTGGAGAGGACAGCGTAATTACTAAAATCACAAGGATTCTTCGTGTATGCTGAACAAACTTCAGGGGAGGTGCATTTAATCAGCATGAAAGAAATGACTTGGGTATAATGGGTATTTTCAAGGGAAAATATCTTAAAGTGAAAGGTGTAATTTAAACCTTCTCAAGTAAGATAGTCATGGGCCAAACCGGAATAATTTTTCTTCCATCTCATCTTTTTTCTTTCTAGTCATGCGAAGATTAAGTTAGAAGGCAAAACATGGGGTTCTGAATTACTTGAACTATACCTTTATGTGAATGTTATAGGAACTATACCCTATTTGCTTTCATATTCAGTCTGCTCTTGGCTAGATAGATGAGTTCTGTTCCTATAGCTAGAACTGTAAGACCCAACATTCAGAAAGTTCATTCAGTTTCTTGAAAGTAATGCTTAGTTTTACGGAAGTTGTAGGATTTTTGTCTTTTCATTATCTTCCATCCTTCATAACTACTGGGAGACCGGACACGTATGTCAAAAGTTTAACATGAACTTTGAGTGGTTTCTCATCATCCTCTAATACTCAGCTTATTTTTGCATACTGTATAAATAATGATTGGGTTGGTATCTGAGTTATAGATTATAGCTATGTATCAAGTGAAAACACATATATAGGTTTTCATGGGATCTGCACTATATTTCATAGATCCATGTTGATGCTTATGCTAACTTAATGTGCTATTTTTGCATTTCTAGAAGATAAATTTTGCTGAATTTGTTTGTTATCCCAGATGTTAGATTAGTCAGGCACCTTTCATATGCCTTGCCTGTTGCTTTATGCACATTTCACCTTTTAATTGCTGAAAATTTCCTACATTTTGGATAAAGTTAGCAGGTGTTTTATATTGCCATACAAGTAGTTTCGGTTGAAATAATAAGAATGTATATCATCTTTTTGGATAAGCATTTTTACATGTTGCTTCATATGTAGATGGAAATGAATGCTACACTTGGAAGCACCTTTTTTGCATAATTTATCCCAATCTTCCTTGACTTCGGTCTTGCTCATTATGCTTACAAAAATATCTGCACGCAGACATATGCATGTTGATGTATACATCTTTGTTGGGTTTTATGGACAGGTATGAAGGTCAACGTGATATGCTCTACAATCAGACGTTCAACCTAGATCAAGTTGCATTTGCTGCTGAGGGGATTAAAGATGCGCAACAAACAGTATGTTTTTGGAGTTTGCACATGTTTCTTCTTTCAAACGTCTGATTTTACTTTTTATGACTCATTTAATCCGTGTTTTAGACTGTTTTTGGGAATGTTACAAGAATTTGGAGTCAAAAACTTCTGACTTCTTATCTCCATAAGGAGTAGTAGATTTCAAGGATAAATACTGAATGATTGTGGTGTTTCTGTTTCCTCGGGCATGACCAAAATGTGTTGCATGATTTGAACTTCTGAAGCGTGTCATGCACCGAGCCAACGAGTGGAGTACATTTGTCTGGTAAAGTGAGATGGACATTATCTTTTATTTCTTTGGTCAGAGATTTTACTTGGCCTTTCTAGTAATATGTACTTATTATGTATTTGTAAATAAAGATTCAATCGGAGATTTTACTTGACTTCTATTACTACCTGTGCATTTTGAAAGAAAGATTCACATTTTTGTCATCAAGTTCTTTTATTCTCAGTTCATCAAGTTCAGAGTAAGATTTGTTTTCTTTGTTAGCGCTCCGTGGGTCAAAGTTCAAGAGTTGTGAGGCGGAGCTTATTCTGTAATGTGATCAGAACGTGCTGCCTACCTCCATAGAGGTAGGAGGATCACCCACCTGTTGTGAGGAAGTTTGTGATTTTGTAGTCTTATCTACGTCCTAAGATTTTCGTAGGCCTAATGTTTATGTGCCTATTTAAAGTTGGATATGGATGCTTCATTGCCACGTTTAGAAAATCAGATGCATTTGTTTAGTAATCAAATTACTCAATATCTAATCTTGCCACATTCTTTCCAGACGTCAGCCTTGAAGACGGCAAACAAAGAGCTGAAGGGAATGATGAAAACTGTGAAAATTCAAGACATAGATGTCTGTATCTTACCACTGATTCATAACTCTTCTATGTGAATAATTTCTTGGGTACTTTTTTCATATTGGCTAGTGTTAATCATATGCAGAATTTACAAGATGAGATGATGGACCTCATGGATGTGAGCAATGAGATTCAAGAGTCCCTTGGTAGAAGCTATAGTGTACCTGATGAAATAGATGAGGAAGAGCTCTTGGGTGGTAAGATCAAATGTGGACTCTTAATATTAAATGAGAACATGCACCACTGGACCTTAGTAGGAACAGTTTTCATCTTTTCCGTTGCTTTTTAATGAGAAAATATGAGGGTTATAATTGTGCTTCTTTCCCATATCTACGAAAATTGTTGATGTACTTGTTTCTTTCCTTAAAAGTCTGTGGAAGTAAACAAGTATATAGTTTCCAGAATGTGGTTGTGTTAGGGAGTTCTAGAAGTCTTTTGCAAGTTGTTCTCAAGTACGCTTGACAGGCCAACAGTTGAAGACTTTGTTCTTCATCTTCTTCGAGAATTGATGCAGGACCTTCTCATTGTCAAATGGGCGGTCCCCTGCCTCTCATTTATTGGGAATTTCTCCTAAAATTTCAGTCCTCGAGGTGGCAGATTCTCGAAGACCGCTCACCTCTTCACTGTTTTTGTCATGTGACAATTTTGGCAATCTACTACTTTTTACACCTTTTAGGATATATTCCAATGCAGAGCTTGATGCTTTGGAAGCGGACATGGGGATGGAAACTGAAAGTGATGGTGTGCCATCTTATCTTCAGCCGGATAAGGAATCTGATCTGGACGCAGAGTTCAACTTGCCATCAGCACCAACAGGACATGCTCCAGCCCCAGGTAGCAGAACAAATGCACAGGTAACTTCATTTTCTTTCTAGACTACAGAGCTGTTATTCTTCTGTCTTATTTCTGAAGTCACAAGTTTTTGAGTTCATGATTAGAGCCATCTCTTCTTATGCACCTGAAGAGATATTCCTTTAATAAAAATAAATTTGGGGAAATGGCAATTTCTACATATTGGTTGTTCCAATGTAACCTATTTATTTGGTACATTAGAGTGGTGGTGCTGTGGTGCCCTCTAAGCATGTTATTTCTCTCGTTTAGTTTTGTCTATTGCAATGGATTTTCACCCTCTTGAACTCCCTATACTTGTTGATCTCAAGAATTGTTAAGCATCTGCTATATTGTATTTTTGTGTAAATACTTGTAGGTTTTGAAAATTTTTTATTTTCAAAAAGTGAACTCATCTTCAGCCTGCACATTTTCCTTTGATCCACTTTCTTCTATTTTGTTCTAGTTTTTAATTGATGTATAATATACGGCATATCTAAATATTTTCATGATTCATATAATGGACTTCATTTGTTTCCTTTGCCTTGATTATAATAAATCTAGGGAACTTTGCACATTGTTACTTCAGCTAATACCTCTTATGTGTGTTGCAGCTGCATAAACGTATGGATAGCACTAGAATTTTCATACTTGTCTTGCTTTTTTATGGCTAGCAGTGTCTTTAATTTGATTTTGATGTTGCACAGACTGAGGACGAACTTGGTTTGCCCGCTGTTCCTGGAGCTTCACTCCGAGGTTAAAGAGGAAATTCACTGTTGGAAATTCTCACTTAGCGGAGGTGTTCAGATGGCCATTGAAAACATAACTTGTGGAATTTTCTGTTGGTGCTGTTTTTCTCTTCTTCATTTTCAGGGATGTTCTGTTAATATTTAATGTAGTGATTCTCTTTTCCTTTCTATTGTTTGGAATGATGGGTGTGTGCATATTGGTAAAGAAAATATCATTCTGGATTGGTTGGGCCATGCACGTGAATTTTTATTTTTTATTTTTTATTTTTTAACTGGTTTTTCGTGACAACCTTCTTTGCTGGTATGCCGAACGTGTTGATGTTTTCCTTTAGTATTTAGGTCGAACCACTGGAATACTTTGGCACACTTGCGATCATTACAAGTGAAGCGATCTATCTATTGTAATATGTAATTGCTTGAACTGTAGTATGTTTAACACGTTAAACTGGATAAAATTGTGGTTATGGTAAAAAGAAATTAAGGCTTTCTTGGTTTGCTTGAAGAGTCAATTTGTGAATGGAGTAGGATGAGAATTCTAGCGGAGGTAAATTGCCATGAAATTGAATTCCTGCAACTGCAGTAAATAGAGCCTAAAATCTGTCACGAACACTAGAATAGTTGTTGCGAGTTCTCCCCTTAACACAGTCCAAAGCTTTGCAACTTGTAAGGATATCCATTTCCAAGCGCACTGCCGTCAATGAGATATTTCCACAGGAAAAACAAGCATATTTATCAACTCAAAATTAATTGCGAATAGACTAACCTTGAGGGAACATTTGACGCTTCATGCACTGCAATAAACAAAATTTTACCTTGTGTTTATCCTATTCATGTTGGGGGAGAGATGCAAACAAATAGACAAACAACGGGGTAATTCTTCTCTCAAAAGCAAATAAGTAAGACGTATTTTTTGTCAATCGTATATGCTGGAAATATTATATAGAAAATCAATTATATCAAACCATAAGAACACGAGCAATTGTTTTACGTGAAAAATCTTCCCCGATGTAAGGAATAAAAACCAAAACCACAGGACTTAGTCTAATCAAAACATACACTATCAATCAAATAATGGGTACACCAAGTCTTCTTCAGTCATAACTTAAGGCTATAACAAATTTTTCTTCAAGATAACAACAATCTTGACAAAAAAATATGAAAATAGGAAAAATATGCCCAAAAATCTGGTCACTGCTCACACAAATTAACCAATGTTCCGAACTGAAAATCCAATCTCCACCATTCAGGTTGTAGCTCTATGTTTTGTGAACCTCCCCAAATTTCAGCTCGATCGGACCACGGATGTCTCAAGATCAAAGATTTGGTGAAATCTGGGCACAGAAAAAAACTATTTTCTCTTTTCAAAAACAGGTTGGACTCCTATTTCCTTCAATCTTCTTGTATTTATATTCATCGTTAGGATTAAAACTAACACTTATGGACTTTGGGCTATAATATAAGATCCAAAACATGGGCTTTCCTCCTCACAAGAGGAAATAACCCAACAATTCAATGCAATGCAATCCATCCAATTTGGTTATCCTGAATGAGCTATAAGCAATATTACTGGCTAGACAAATAAAGGTTAAAAACGATAAGAGTATCTTGTTTTGCCAATATGGGTGTGCACGTCAAGTTTGAATCCAGTAGCTAGAGTGGCTAATATTGCCATCAAACCAAAAAGCACATGCTACTTCAGCCTTCTATTCTGCACTAGCTAATTCAGCCCATCTTTGGGTAGAAATCGGTTCTCATCTATCTTCATTATTCCTAACTTGAGATTAAAAGATCATCTACATATACGCAGTTTAGGGTCGAAAGCAATTACTAGAGCAGCTTCACCTTGAACTTTCAGAACTTCCATTACAGCTAACTACGTCAGTTCAGATCAAGTTTGCGCATGTCTAATGTTTGCCAAATGTCTCCAGAACAGGCTAAATCAGCAGCAGAGTTCGACCAGCCAAGGACCTTGCTAGTAGAGGAATAAGCTAGGGACATTTTTAATCTCTCGTACTCTTTCTTCAGGGAATGGTACTCACCTGCACAAATGAAAACTATTGAATAAGAATGAGACAGGACAAAAATGGATAGGACAATGTATTTGTGGGGCAAACATTGACAGAGAGACACAGGATAGTAATAACATAGGCAAGATGACAAAAATTATCCAGGCTACAACCAACGGCAAACCCATGATTTTTATTTAAGAGGCAGGAATTTAAAAAAAAAAAAAAAAAAAAAATCTACGTAGTAAAATTCATATATACCATAAGCTGGCAAGGTAACAAATTTCATTTGTTTGACAAAACTTTTGATGAAAGTTTTAGCAAATTTTTATAAAACTTGTTGAAATGTGATTGAAAAGTTGATAAAAGTTGTAGGTTAATGAAATGTGGGTTAAAATCTAATTATTGACTTTGACCTCATCCTTTTAACAACTTTTAAGCTATCCCAAACAAGTAATTAAATATAAACATTGCCAATAAAAATAAGCAAATAAATGAAAAAATAGTGACATGGTGGCAGACAAAGCTCTAACTAACTATGCAGTAATGCAACATACAGTCGGCAATTTGAGCAACTGGTAAATATAAGGTGGGGAGCATGAATCTAAATATTAGGGGGAAAACAATATAAAATGAAAGCTTTAAAATGTCAAATGTGGAATAAAAATGCAATTAATTAAGCAAGTAGCAACATTTATAAATAATAAAATCAACGAACAAATAAATCATAAAATTTACTGAAAAATGTTAAATTTTGCAAGTTCCTGAATTTTAATTTTCATTATCATTATGTGAAATTAAATCCAATATATGATCATAATAATCACCTTTTGCACGTGGATCTATGTCCATATTATTCACCTTGGTAAACGATTTTCAAAATATTATTCAAGATGATTTTCACTTTTTTTAGTATTATTTCCATATTAATTTGATTGCAGACCTACAAATACGATGATTTTCTTTGTATTTTTTCAATCCAACATATAAAATTTAAACAAATATTTAATCATTCTCCACTATACAATTAAATACTAAGGTGACTCAAACATTTAAAGCAACACCAAGTAGTGAGTTTTGTTGCTACTTTGTTTTCTTTTATGTTTCTTTTCTATGTGACAGTTTGCAGCACATTAAGGACCCAAAGTAAACTTTTGGTCAACCACTCAGCAGCTTGGTTCTTCCTTTGTTCATTCTTGACTATTCAATCATTTGTCACTAGATATGCATCAGAGGTGCTATTAGAGCATGTTTGGTATAATGTATTGAGCAGTATTCTGGAGCAAACAAGATTTGACTTCTTTTTCTTCTTCAATCCTATCGAATATGTTCTACTCCAATATACTAAACATGTCAGTACTTGAAACAGTAATGATACAGCAGAACTTTTTAAAGGAATTGTAAGAAATTTAATGAATGCTACAAGAGTGCATTGTTTCCTGTAAGTTTCAGTTGACACCCAAAAGCTTTAGAAAGTTCACGGCTCGAATTTCACGTTTTTGCCTCCCATTACCAAATGTAACATAATTTTTTGCATTCTAGATATTTTTCAAAAATTGTATGCTAACTGCTAAGTACACTTTAGCTAACCAACGACCACCAGAAGACTAAGTGGGAACATGTCAAGATTATGTAAGACTCGGGATTTATTTAAATAGATTACCAAAAATAACTAATTCCCATATTATTTATGGGGAAGGGTAATTTGGTGTAGGCAATCTATAATGCAAGAGCATTTGACACAAAACTTGCTTCAAGTATAAAAACAGACTTCTCCATTTTCCAAGTAAGAGAATATCAAGTAATTTGTTTAATTAAGCTATCAGAAACTATATTGCTACAGTGAAATTTAATAATAATTATGGCCGTATTTGATCCATATTATTTGAAAAAAAATACATTCTTAAATAATAATTTGATATCATTTCAACCATACATTCTTCAATAAAATAATATTACACATAAATCCAAAATTTTTCCTTATTTTTTAAACACATATTTTTCATCAATACACTATTCAAAAATGCATTTCTATAAAAATAATGTGGCTCAAACAAGGGCTATATTGCAAATTATCCAGGGTTTTTTTCCAAAATTACATCTTAATTGATTGAAAGTTGGAATTTTGAGCAATCGTTTCCAGAACACTTTATTTAAGAAGCTTGAGTGGAAGACAACAGGACCAGTGTAGCAAAATGTGTCATATGCTGACTAGCATAGTAACAAGCAAAGAGAGAACAATCAGCAGAAAGATGAGCAACTTACCTTCCGCATTGAAACTCTCCTTTTGCAGTCTCACCACCTGTTGCTTTAGCGTTCTGTTCTCCATTGATAAAGCAAGCTGTTGCTGATAGAGAGAAGCGACTCTGAAAGCCAAATCTGACTCCAAATTCTACATGTTTACATTTGTTGAAAGCAATTGAAAATATCAGGAGCTGGATAAATAAATAATTAACGAACCGCTAATGAGTCGCAATTATGAGAAGGGATAATTGTAAATAAGGCAAACCATTAACTATTTACACGCCTTCTATTTTCCTAGTTTCAATCAGGATATGTGATTTTTCATCTGCATTTTACTTTGCACTTTTACAAGTTAATTCTTGCATTCTGGTACAATGATACTAACATGTGGACTCCAAAATATAATCACTAATTAAACATGACTTGAATTTGTATCTTATGAAAAAGGTACCTGAAGAATGTCAACAGTTCTTTCTAGTTCAGCAATATACTGAAGTTTGCGAACTCTAGATCGCTGCCCAGGATGTCTGCATGCAAGCCATAATTCATCATAGGGAAAACTTTGCAGGATAGAAGATGCCTGAGAATCCAATTGAAGATGGAGAAAAAAAAAGGGGGGGGGGGGGGGGGGGGGAGGAGATATAACTTAAACACGTTTCAATTTTGTGTTAGGGTACAATACGCAACTACTTCATCGTAAAGTGAAAACATATCGATTTCTTTATTTGGATTTTATCTTCAACGAGTATAAAGCCAGATTGGTCTCACCCTTGTTTATTTCAAATCTTTGTAAATAAAATAATTATCAGTTCAGCATTCAGGCAACAGAAAGTGTTATGAAGAATGACCAAGTGGCCATGCTAGTAGTAAAGGTGAAATGGCATCTTAAGAGGACTAACATGTGATTAAGAATAAATAAATGAACCCATCATCACATGTCAGGATTTCTATTGTGAAGATGAAGTATAAATTCAGCAGATATACTTAAACAATAATATTATCCAATCAGGAACTGATATAGAAGTATTCCTCTACCTATTAGCCATCATTTAAAAAGTTATATACTGACATAATCCTGATACAGTAACAAGCAATTAGTGAAAAGAAATTCCACTTGCCAAAGTAAAAGTTCAGAGTATAAAGTCTGACCGTTTCATCAGTTTCACCTCTGCATTAGTCCCACTACCTGGACCAAAGGCATCACCTATTGAATCTGGCTGTGCAGTTCTAGAAACACACATACTGGCATCCAGATGCTGCAGAGGACATTGTAAGACATATTCAGATAATGCTGAAACGATTGCATTCTCAGGAAATGCTACTTCGCCTTTTCTGCGAGGGGAATTGGGACCATATGCACAGCCAGATTCAAATTCATTATCTGGTTCACAAGAATCCAGAGTCTTCAATCCATCTAGTTGTTCTAGACCTGGTAATGGGACAAGACAATCCAAAAGGGTAAAGGAATCACTAGCAGATCGTCGGTGTAAAATCCCACTAGAATCTGAGTCCGAATCACTCAACAAATCACTTAGCCATGCTGGCTGCTCCTCTAAGGTAGAGCTTTGTGAGGTGGATTTATGATGTTTCGGGCCTCCAGGATGCAGTTCAATATTGCTTGAAGTCGGGGAAGCCGAACCATAAGTTGGGTGAGTTACACTTTTCTTTTGATCAGGACAGCGAGGAGGAAGATGAGCTTGCCTCGACATGACTGATATTAACTAGCAGCTGAACATCAGATTTTCAAAGCCTAATCAAACTTATTTATATTTTCGCTTATTTTTTTCCAAAACATCAGAATATTATCATAACAGGCCTCATTTGCACACTGTAAAACTAGAAAGTAGATTCAAAACGAACAGAAATTATGAGAACATACAAATTTAGAAAAAGACAACATGTGGATATACGAGTACATGTATAAGTAATCATGCATTTCAAGATTCCAATAAAAGAATTTGAACAGTTTCAGGAAGTCTTTTGCACAAAAATTTGTCGCATGGTTTCGCACTTGAAATTCAGAAACCAAAATCTACAAATTACAGGCACGCAAGAACTTGTGATAATATTTCTAGGAAAAGTTATGCTATATTACCATTTGATTTTACCAGAATTGTGCTAAAATGGCATAACTCTTCTAAGAATTCTAGTTGCTATTTAATAGACAATAAAAGGAAGCTTTTCATTATAAACGAAACTATGACCCTATTCAAGTCAAGAATTCAGACTGCAATGACACATTATAACCAAAACAAATAATGGTACGCATGTATTTTAAATTAATCCAGCCGTGTACTTAATAATTAGGACAAAAACACAGAAATCAACTTTGAATTGCGAAAACTAGAAAACGAATTTGTCTTTCTTTAATTCCTGATGAACAACAAAGAAAGAAAGAAATATCAAGAAATTAAAAATTAAAACAATCATCAAATCGATTCATGAAAACGTAACACTCAAACTGTAAATCCTTTCCAATTTCCCATTCAGTTTCACCGTACTTCTCAACACCCAAACAACAAATTACAGAAGCAGAATAATAGTTGAAGAAAAATCAAGAAAAAATACCAAAAAAAAAATCAACAACAGGGAACCCCTGTGAATTCCTTCATTGCAACAACTAGTTCACCATTTTCTAAAAAAAAGAAGAGAGAAAAGATCTGTGTACCTTTTCTATTTGAAGGAATACTGAAGTGAGTGGCTAGTTCAAGGAAAAATGAAGAATGCAAGTTTCTTCCAAGAATCCTTGAAACTTCAACCCAATTTATATAAATATGCAGAAATAACAATTTCTACATGCATCCTTCTGGTAAATATACCGATATTATTACATAAATTAGAACGAAATTCAGAACTCCATTGAAGAATAGTTTTTTTTTTTTTTTTTCTTTTTGACAGAAAGGAGGCGTTTTTTTGAGTTTTGAGCAGCTCTCTAACCTTTGTAGTTCTTGCGTGCGTATTAATGTCACCATCACATTCAATTGAGACAAACTAATTTATTGATTCGCATTTATTGATGTTTCGTTTGAAGAACATATAATATTAAATGAGATTTGACCAATAGTCTTTTAGATTTTTTTCCATGTATGAAAATTGTTCCTTTCTTTGTCTAGGTAACGAAATATTTATCTAAAAGATTAATGAAAGATGTAACAAATGCAGGGTAGAAAATAAGGACATCACGTGTCGACAAATAATTGGACAGTTTGAAATTTTTTAAAAAACACATCCAATCAAAAAATCCAAATTAGCCTATTTTCTTACTTCCTGTCTTCAACCCTATACAAGGAGTTTAATTCAAGATTAATGAAATCATGCTAGTCTAACACCTAACTCGAAACTCAGCCAAGATGGTAATATTGTCCAATTGGTCAATCATTAATTTGCTAGAAAAAGTTTCAAATGCACAATTTATATTTAAACATGATATGATTATAATGGTCGTTCCCGATCTTAAAGTTAAGATGTATTTTCAAACTTTTTTTCTTGTGAGTACTTTAAACGGAAAAACCAAAAGTGCATTTTAAAATTTTCTTTTTATAAGAGTTATTTAAGCAAGTTTTAACAAAAGAGAATTGATTGATAGAAAGTGAAGTATAAATATCAATCACATTGTTAAGGACGATAAAAAAAAAAAAA